TGCCTCCCCCAGCCTCCCCTCCCTCCCTACCTGCCCCAGTACGCTCCTGGTCCTCGCCCAGGGGCGTTGTGTCAGAGCTCGTGCGCAACTGACACGCACCCAAAGTTTTTGAAGAAGGCCAAAGCAAGCCCTCCATGGGATAAAAGGGTCAGCCGGTCTCGGTTGAGAAAGGGCTGTGGCAGTGAGCTGGCCAAACCACGTCCCCAGTGTGCCAGCAGCCCTCAACAGAGTGCAGGTCACCCCCCGTCTGAGCTATAAACTGGAATTTATTCCATAGCGAAACACACCTGGAATACATCCAGCCTGGGGTTTACTCAGTCACTCATTCCAATTCAACCCTGTTTTTAAGTGAGGAAAGAAATCCAGAAATGGTAAAAGTCCAGTTGATATTTTAGTGGACGGCAGCGATGCCATGTGTTGTCCTGGGGCGCTTGGGCCGAGGAGGGCTGTAGGGTCGGTGCCAGGAGGAAACTGGTTTCATGCGTGGGACCAACCCAAGCCCTTCTAGTTTTATTTGGTTGCTGCCTCCTCGTTACTCAGGAGCCCCGTGAGCCCTCACCGGTGGAAAGCAGAGCAGTGACTAAGCACTGCACGGGGTCCCGGTGCCTGCCCTGTAACGGAGAAGGCTTTGCAGCCGAATAGCAACACGAGTAACTTACACGGAGCAGTTTCTCAGTGGAAACTTTGTGCTTATATTTTTAAGAATTGGATACGCTCTTTTTGCTCTTAGATTTGGGTGCTTCGTCATTTCCTTTCAACAGACTGAGTTCAGATTCCAGAATTATTTTCAGAATTAGCTTGTTTAAGTGAAGAACTTGGGACAGACTTTTGGTGGGATGGTTCTGGGCAGCAGGTTTAAGATTTCGTACAATTGGGGTTGATTCGGTATAGCCCTTCCTGCAAAGACAGCAGTCATGCCCCTGTTCTAGTAAAAGATACGATGGGACCAAAAATAGTCCTAAAATAGTTGGCGGGGGGCGGGGGGGGGGCTTGCAACATTTTTTAATTGTAGACAGAGCTGCTGACGTTACTTAATCATTTGACAACGTGGAAAAATACACATCTACTCTAAAACTCATTTGTTATTTAAATACAATTAGAAAAGGAAACACAAATAACCTGGAAATAGCAGCTCTTATGGGCCCGATCCTGCCCCTGTGGAAATCAATAGCATATCCTTGACTGGGAGCAGTACCTAGAGCTTATTCTGCAAAATTAAACAGTTTTCAGCTCCAAAGTGCAATGAACAATATTTGCTGTGTCTCTTATATTTAGTACATTGAGGCTGTGATTTGAAAAGGAACATAAATGATGAAATAACATTTTTCCATTAATTTAATTGCAGTGAAAGATTTAATATTGAATGTTGAGCTGATAAATTTGTTCCTGTTCTGATGCCTTTCCTATTAATGTCTTTTTTTTTTTGTGCTGAGTTATTTGTTGATGTATCTTTGATTTTAAGTATGGAAACACATAATACATTTTTGCATCAATGTTTGTTACATTCTGCCAAGGCTTACCAGGTTTTTACAAATTTTAAATTTATTGTATATTTTTAAGATCATTTTAGAGTTAATTAAATGTATATAACTACAGTATAATTCTGTCTCTTTTTTCCCAGGTCAGGTTAACTTTCCCAGAATATTTAATGAAACATATTTTGTAGGGGTTTCTGGTATTTTTATTTTTCTCCCTGATGATTTTAATGGCTAACCAAACCAGTTATTGTGGTATTTGACTAACAATAGTGATAGCAAGAGAAGTACATCGCAGATCATTTTGATTTTATTTTAATAAGGTCAGCAATAATCAAGGGAATGAACCAAGTAGAAAATTGTTCCCAAAGGGATATTAAAAGCGGAGATAATCTAATCCCCAAAGGTAGATGCGATGACCTGGTAATTTCAGATATGATTTTATCATTCAAAGTTGCTTGTCTCCAGAGACTTGCTTCAGAACAATCCTAGATGATTTTCATTGTCAGCAGCTAACACTAATAAAATTGTTTTTCCTGCAGGCTAGTGTGTTAGGAAATTAATTTTATCTAATTATATGAATTGCACTGTCGCTTTTCATGTTGTAATTAAAACACATTTTGTCAGGTTCTAAGTTGTTCAAGAAACGATCAGTTTACTATTTTTGTGTTGCATTTTCACAGAGAACAGTTCAGAAAAATGCAAAATATGTTTGTCTGGCAAATAAAAACTGTCCAGTGGACAAGAGACGTCGTAACAGATGCCAATACTGCCGGTTTCAGAAGTGTCTCAGCGTCGGCATGGTTAAAGAAGGTAAGGACTGTTGCTATTATTATCCCAGACACTGAAATATTACGTTTAATGAATTTGTGTGTGTGTGTGTGGACATAGATGCCTTGACAATGAATTGTACAATGATGGAATTCATAGCTTACCCCAAAATATGTGCTGTTTTGTAATAATGTATTGATTTTCTTTTTTTCACCCATATTATCATATTTAGACTTTAGACCCCAGAGTTCAAGAACAGCAAGGTCACAAGAGGATAATTTGACACTGGCCAAAATGTCTCCTTTATTAACTTTGAACGTTGCTCGATAATGCTGTTGGCTTCCCCCTGTTATCTCACGGGGGGCTGCACTGGATTGCGTGCATTTTGACATAGGATCTTGTCTCCTTCCCATAAGCTGATTGTAAATTTGCAATTAATTTAAATGGAAACAGGATCAACTCATTAGTCTCAATTCTGCAAATATTTAAGTGTGTGAGTAATACTGTGTGAGCAGTCCCACTGCAAATACTAACGTGGATAATATAACCTATATAGCGTGACCGGTTTTTTTTTTCAAATGCTTCAAGAAAGCTAAAATTACTTTGAATGAAGGACTCTGCCATTTAAAAGGTGCACCAGTGGTAGGAACATTAGAATTTGTGTTTCACATTCAGTTTTCTTTCAGCAGTAGAGTGTCTGTGTGTGTACGGGCACACACACACGGGCGCACAGATGTGCTGCAAGCAAAGCACGAACACTAGGAGCACAGCTGGGCTTCAAGTAAGCAGCTACATTGCTGCTTACGATCATAGGTCTGATGCAATTTTGGTATCATTTGTGTTCCTTTGCAATCAAAGGCCTCAAGAGCATGTGCTGAAACTGGAGAATGCTCATATTTTTGCCGGGCTGGCCACCGTAAGAAAAGCAGGTGTTCATTCTGATCCGTCGTTTGCTGGTATCTTCACAACTGATTCCCTCTTTTCTTTCACGTAGTTGTCCGTACCGACAGCCTGAAAGGGAGAAGAGGTCGGCTGCCTTCCAAACCAAAGAGCCCCTTACAGCAAGAACCCTCCCAGCCCTCCCCGCCTTCTCCTCCCATCAGCATGATGAACGCCCTTGTACGAGCTTTAACCGACTCCACGCCCAGGGAGCTTGACTATTCAAGAGTATGTCTCGCTTTTCTTTGCCTGTTTGTTTTCCACATACAAATGATTAGTGAAGTGCATTTCTGATTACCAGAATGGTTTGCTAAAATGAAATTAAATGTGAAAGTTGGATGAGGGTAGAAATTTGTCCAGCCAGCCGTGTCTTTTCATGGAAGGTAGACTATGAAGGGAAAAAAGGTGCAGTAGAAATTAGTGTTAGTAACTATTCCTTGTGAGGATTTCAATCACAAAGTTATCATCTGCAGTATATTCCGTGGTTGAGTGAAAGCAAAAATGCGTGGATGAATAGAGCATTCTTCTTGCAAAAGGCTGTGCCAAAACACTAGCAATTACAATATGATCGATTAATCTACCAAGCTCAGGAGCAATACGTATATGTCCAGTATCTTAATTTCCAGGTTCTGAAGGCTAAAATCTAATAGCACTTCCCTAATACTCAGATATAAGGATTGCAGGAAGTAACACTGGATGGACAGGGCCATTTCTGTTGAAACCAATAGGAATTTTGCCAGTATTTAAATGGGACCAGGGGCTGGCTTTGGCTACACCAGCATGAATATTTCTTCAGTAAAATTCACATCTGTAAAACAAACTTTTAAAAATCAAAATTCTGAAAAATTATCTCAGCAAAGCTTTACCAGAGATTATATATTTTTGTAACCTTGTTCTTTAATGTATCATGTTCACCATTTAAATATTCATGGAATATTTTCAAAGCTTAAAAACCTGTTCTATAGTTATTAAAATACAGCATTGAAATGGCTTGTTACATACATTTTTAGGCAGGTTGATATAGGAAAAGGAAAAAAATACAGCTAAGGAAAACCAAGATCAAATTCCTTCCCCTTAATGAAATATGATTA